AGTGTTACAAAATCTATATATATTACACATGATATCTTAGATAACCTGCATGATGTCACAAATTATATATATCACACATGATATCTTAGATAACCTGCATGATGTCACAAAATTTATATATATTACACATGATATCTTAGATAACCTGCATGATGTTACAAAATCTATATATATTACACATGATATCTTAGATAACCTGCATGATGTTACAAAATTTATATATATCACACATGATATCTTAGATAACCTGCATGATGTTACAAAATTTATATATATTACACATGATATCTTAGATAACCTGCATATCGTTACATTTTAGAAGTAAGTAAACTATCAACTTTCACTGATATGAGTTATCCACTGGCTCAACAGTAAGTTTGAATCCTTATAACTCTAAAATCTGGTTTCGATACCCGTGGTGGGCACAGCACAGATAGCCCATTGCGTAGCTTCGTGCTTAATAATGGAATAAACAAAGAAATTGTTCTGGATAACATTTTTTTTTCTAAACCCTTGAATACTAAGTAGTTAAACCTAAAATTAAGCTAAGATATTAAAAGTACTACCTTATAACCATTTAAACCACAAGCTTTCGGACTCCATTAGTACGTGAGACCTCTATAGTGAAATACCTATAAGCAGACGACTACATCATATTGTTACGACTGCGGGGGTCACGTGACGCTAGTAACACGTCATATTCTCGAACGTTCACGCCCTTTCCTGAAGCCTCGAGAGGTTACTAGATATACGGTATTCATGTATATAAGACCGGTAAGAAGTGACGGCAACAATTTAAGGTAATTGAAATATTTATAAAGAAAATTTAAATCATGATTTTGTTCCCTCGTGCATATAACGAGATTTTGCATAAACAGTTTAATAACCAAAGAATTCTTATGTAATTTTTTTTCCTTTACGTCACAGAATGAATACTTCATTTTAATATTTGAAGTTCCTAAATATCCTGTTCCTAACACCTTACCACACATTCTAAGGATATATCCGAAAATACAGCTGAAGTGTTTGTTTAAAACCTAATTGTTGACTTGGGATTTTGTTTAATTTAAGGACCTCATTCCTACTTTAAAATCATTGTACGTAGTTTATAAAATTACTTGTTTCTGCTGTCAGCAAGGCTCTATCGGATCCCCTGAAAGAAAACTGTTAACGCGAGTGAAGAAACATGCTAAGATATTAAGTGAAGCACACTTAGACTTACCTTACGTGAATGTGACATTGTAAGAGTCAATGACGAACTGGGGCCTCAGAATAAAAGTTGAAACCTGAGATTAATTGTATTTGATCAGTAAGTAAACTACTTCTAAGTTCTAGGCTTAAGTTTACAAATGACGTTCAAACGAAAATTGCCTCGCTAACGGTACGACGAAACACATACAAATAACTAACATATATAACTTCAAGGCTATTCGATCGAATAACTGAATACACACAACACCTTGCACTGATCCAAATATGTACAGGAAGAGGTAACATACTGTACCAACATAGGTCTACGTAGTGTATGTTTGTGTTTTAAACTTCTATAACTACTTACAAAAAATAAGTAATGTAGATTATCAACGCCAGTCTACGGAGTGTATGTTTGTGTTTTAAACTTCTATAACTACTTACAAAAAATAAGTAATGTAGATTATCAACGCCAGTCTACGTAGTGTATGTTTGTGTTTTAAACTTCTATAACTACTTACAAAAAATAAGTAATGTAGATTATCAACGCCAGTCTACGTAGTGTATGTTTGTGTTTTAAACTTCTATAACTACTTACAAAAAATAAGTAATGTAGATTATCAACGCCAGTCTACCTAGTGTATGTTTGTGTTTTACTGTTCTATAACAACATAAACAAGAGAAAATTAACGTACAACATCCACATCAGTCTACGTAGTGTATGTTTGTGTTTTACTATTCCTTGCCTACAGAAACGAGAGAGAAATAACGTAAAATATCAACATCAGTCTACCTAGTGTATGTTTGTGTTTTAGTGTTTTATAACAATAGAAACGAGAGAAAAATTAACGTACAACACCCACATCAGTCTACCTAGTGTATGTTTGTGTTTTAGTGTTGTATAACAACAGAAACGAGAGAGAGAATAACGTATAACACCCACATCAGTCTACCTAGTGTATGTTTGTGTTTTAGTGTTGTATAACAACAGAAACGAGAGAGAGAAAACGTATAACACCCACATCAGTCTACCTAGTGTATGTTTGTGTTTTAGTGTTTTATAACAACAGAAACGAGAGAGAGAAAACGTATAAC